CCGAGCCCTGGGGAACACCGCTCATGACCGGCCGCCAACTGGATTGAACTCCGTTCACCACAACTCTCTGGGCCCGGCCGTCCAGCCAGTTTTTTACCCAGCACAGAGTACACCTGTCTAAGCCGGAAAAGGACCTTAGGAAAGGGTCAGGACCTTTCTTGGCCAGGCTGATAGATGGAGGGGTTTTCCTGCAGAAATAGGCTCGCTGCATGTTTTTTCTGCCCAAACTAGGCACAGCAGCTGGGAGCGGGGAGCAGGCTGCAGCAGCATTTGCATTTCATCCACCCAGGCTTGCCTGCACGTCTTCTCCTGCAAGTGAGAGGCCATGTCACCTGGCGCAGGGCTTGCAGATCAGGTAGGAAGCCGGCAGCAATTGTGGAAAAGGAGATGCAGTAAAAACTCCGTATTTTAGGAAACTTGCTGCCTCTCATTGCCCAGCACTTGCTGGCTTCCTCCCAGCTCAGCCTGGGAAGTCACTTTGTGCGGCCAGAGCTTGAAGGTCTTGAAAGATACTGAGGACCAGCAGTGGAGCTGGAGAGCTGTGCAGAAAGGGAAGGTCTCATCCTATTAATGACCAGTAATGAACCCGGCAAGGTGCATCTCGGGCAGTGGGTGGGTGAAGCACAGGCTTGTAAGGAGCAGGCTGCAAAGGAGAGGAGCAGAGCATGTTGCCTGGGCTCCCAGGCATCATCTTTGAAGGAGGATCTTGCAGAGGAGGGGTAGGATCATCTTCAGAGGATGGCTTGGGTACAAAGGGTCTGTACTGAATTTGTAAGTCTTATTTGGGGGAGGACAAAAGAAAAAATTAAATGCTGCGAGAAGAGTGTGTCCTTCAGTGGTGAGGGGGCTCGGTGGCTGCATGGGGACGGTCACTTCAGAGCTGGAGAGTGCCACTAATTAAAACAAGCCTGCTCATATGCCCACGCTCTGCTTGGCAGAGGTGTACCACTGTAATTACCCCTACACAAGGGCCCTGCACGTGTGGTGAAGCATGCCAGAAAAGAGTACACGTCAGGAGACTCGTTTCTTCACCATGAAGGGAGATTTCGTCTGCTGTGATACCTCCATGCTGCTCCCCAGCTGGGGCGACCTTTCCTGACTGAATGTGTATTTGGAGATTGTTTTACTACTTGTGTCCACCTTGGCACAATTATGGGTTAGAAGACTCTTCTCCATCTAAATAAAACCCAGAGGAACAAACGCTTTTGTATTTTATACTGCTAGTAGTAAATTAGGAAAACCATCAGGCATAGCCATGGAGCTATAGATGTAAAGTCATGTGTGAATATTTGGTGTGGCTTTCTAATTTTTCTCAGGTATAGGAGGAATTTCACTGCAGCTATACTCAGACAAAAGCAGGAGCGTTTTTGTTATATATATATATCTATCTCTTTTTTTCACAGCTTGATGCTATAGCCAGATAAGGCGGCTGTCTTTGAAGCATGTGCTAGAGGAAATCTCACTGCACAGTTCACTATTGTGATGGCAGGATGCAAAGGAAGCACGCAATGAGGGCTATAGCTGCTCTGATGTCACTGTCCCTCAGCCAACAATGCACACATGTCCCCAGATCAAGCCGCAAGCAAAGGCGCTTGCACGTTAAGGCAGACTTTTAGGAAAGAGCACGTTGTTACAGCCCTTGTTATGCTTCCCACAGCAGCCTTACCTTTGATGCATTGCCTGTGTAAATCCTGATGTGTGATATATCAGGCAGAATATCACAATGCAGAGTAAGTATATTGTCCTCTGCATTCGCAACCGTGCACGTGCATGGGGTGGGGTTTGGGTTTTGTTAGGGGTTTTCTTGTTTTCTTGGGTTTTTTACTCCAAATGATACATGAGGTTTGTTTTTTTCTCCCTATGTTATCTTTACAAAAGGCTATTATTATGAGAGATATGTTTGTTTGCATAGAGGAATGTTTTGTGGCAGGAATTTGAAATCTGAATTTCCTGGTTTCATCTCATTTCTTGGTATTTTTAGGACTGGATTTGAGCTGTACTGTGCTAATTCCAATCAGATGCTTTAACCACGTGTTGGGTTGGTTTTTTTTTTCTCCCATGTTGGAATTGGTGTTCACCATTTTACTGGAAAACAGCTCTTTTAAGAAAAATGTGACAACCTGATAGGTAAACTCAGAAGTGCCAAGTGGACTAACAGGCAACATTTACGATCGCTTATTTGCACAGATGGAGCATCATAATCAGTTCGGCATTTAATTGTGTGCCCATCTCATTTATTTCCTTTTAGGTTTACGGCATGATCCTGACTTCATTCCTCTGGTTCTCCATCCACTTCAGCAGCAACCTGGACCGGAAAGGCAAATACACCCTGCGAGAGAGGTAGAAACCCGCCGCCCGAGCATCCCTACCAGGTAGAGCCAGCTCTTGGCACAGGAAGATGTCTGAAGTCACCCACAAAATCCCCTGGGAAGGCGTTGAGTGGGGTCATGCGGTAGGATGTGTTACACGTTTCCCCTTCCTGCACTACTAGCTGTCATGCATTTCCGAGCTGGTCAGAGCAGATGATGCTCTGAGGAGAAGCCATCCCACACCTTCACCAAAAACGGACAAGGACTGAGACACGCACCTGGGCTTGGAGATGCAGATCGCCTTGCCAGGGGACGTACGGGCTGTAGCTCCACAAGCAGGACACAAAGAGCCCCTTAGGACAAAAGTGGAGAGAAAAGCCCAGCAAAAATCACAGCATTAAACCAAACTTCTCTTGCGCTGTCATCTGAGCAGTTCCCTGTAACCCTCAAAGATGCAATGTTTCTAGGAAGGTGGCTTTGGATCACAGCCCAGGACTGATCTTGTGCTATCAGCAAATACATGGACACAAAGTGTGTCATTACTGATGGGAAACGTGCTCTCCTAGCCTGGACACTCATAATGATTGACTTTGGGCACGTTTCTGATCGTGCTCGAGTATGTAGGCATCCAATGACCATTGACTGTTTTTCCCCTGTTTTCAAATATTGCCAGGTTTACAGAGCTTTTGGTAGAGATCAGGAAAAAAATCAGAAGGCAGTGCATGAGATTTGAAACAAATGACCAGCATAAAGACATATCCCTCTGTTATTCCTTCTTGCTAATGCAATACACCACTATTTTTTAATTCTTAGGATTTAGTCAACCTCCTAGAGCTTGATGCCACACTGATTTCACAGGGGCTTGTTCAACTTCCAGCCTTAGCTCTCTGTTTATCTAGCTTCACTAACCCACCGCGCTGCTGTGCAATACAAAAGGACTTTGATATTACACGTACACGCAGGACTGAAGTTTAAATCTGTAAGAGAACAGGACTGATCTCCAGCCAGGTCAAACAATACAATGTCCAACCCCACGTCCTCTTTACGTCACCTTATCAATAATAAACAGAAATTTAAAAAGCTTCAATCAACTGAATCAGTCTAGCTCAAATGATGGCTCCCTGGCGTGCTTTGCCCTCATTGCAAGGAGGCAGAGCCGCTTCTGAGCTGACACCCATCATTGCAATAGATTTAGCACCTGCTGGAAAACCTGCTGCAAACTTATATGGCTATGTGAAATGTCTGTTGAACCAACAACAGCTTTCCCCCCCTCTCCTTCATTGTGGCTTTTAGCCGTGAAAAACAGTAAGTAGCAATTGTTTATTGAGATAAACGTGGAAACCCCGTGCTGATGTTCAGGACAGGTCCTGGCCCTCAGGCAGGGGCTGCTACACGTACAAGAACAGCAGTACAACCTACAGCACCTGGTTAGCATTTTAACATGGCTGCAGATATCTTGCATTGGAAAGAATTGTGCTGGGGGGGCGGGGGGGGAGGGCTATCGCTCCTCATCCCACTCCCTTGGAACCAGTGGAGCTTCACCATTGACTTCACTGGAAACAGAATCAAGTTCAAATTGCTGCGGAATATTACTCGAGCTACCTCCTGGCAGTCACCAACATGCCTCGGTCTAGCAGCAATTTAGTGATGATACGCACTTGCCAACATACCCACTTTCTAGCAGTGGGGAAAGATTCACTTATATGTATATATGCACTAATAAGTATTTCGTTCTCTGGAGAGAGACAATCTCCCTTGTGAGCTCCAGTTGCTATTGTTCAGGCCACTGCTATTGTTATTCCTCAGGCCAGCTGGCAGCTCCCGTGACTCATGGTTGCTTCAATAAAGATGAATTTCTTGCAAAAGGCCATCATTCCTTCTCTTTTTCTGCTGTGCATGAGGCTGCCTGCATTGCTCGGGGGTTTGCGCCATGGAGAGCCCTCAGTAATTCTTTCAGTGCTGGGAAGAGATATTCCCTGGGCAGCTGGTGCTCGCCTGTCCCAGCAGCATGTCTTAGCACCCAAGAGGGAGAGGATGGCATTGGTCCTTTGGAGGAAAAGGAGCCGCTCATCAGCCTCATCCTATACTCGGCCAGCTGCTGGGGCAGCAGGCAGGTACCTCACAAGGTTTAATGCAAGCAGGGGCAGGAAAAAAGCTTAAGGACACATTCAAGCAATAAAGACCAGAGTATTTGTATGAAAGAGATCTCTACAGTTTCACTTTTTTAAACACTAGGCAGTCAGGTCTTGCCCACCGCTCTGTGTTCGCTGGACAACTGATGATGTTTTGCCATATCAAAAAACACTGGAGATCGAGCAAATCGGTGGAGTCTGTGTTATGGGTGTGAGTTACCTGCTTAAGCCTCATCAACTAGTAGAAAAGATCTCTGTTAAAGCTTCACCGCCAGGACTGCTAAAGCTTTAGGTGTTCCTCCTTCCCGGGTCAATTTTTACTGTAAAGGGATGATTACGGACAGGAGTAGCATATATATGATAAAGAAACCTGAAAGGCTATCGTATCCCCCTCCCCTAGCTCTCGTTTCCTTGAATCACTTGTGATCACTGAAATTTCATCAGAAGAAGCAGGCACCTTTCCAGCACCGGTCATATAGGTGTGCATGTGCGTAGCTGCTGTTTTCACTCCTCTGTAATGATTTCTGCTGCTTGCGGCAGGGATGAGAACATGACCTGCACCAAACCATCTCACGAGGGGATAATGCTCCTGGACAGTCGTCATTTCTTCTTCCCAATAAGCAGCAGACTGGAAGCATGCAATTTCTTGTCCCAGGGAGCTGGAAGTTCCCTTTTGTTCTCTGATAGCCAACCATGGGGTTTAGGTAATTTTTTTGGTACAAAATACTCCAACAAACTATAATAAAAAAAAGCAAACCTTGTTCTGTATGTACGCGCTGGCCACCTCTTGATCTTTATTCCCATCTCACCCACTGCTGGAGTTCCCCTGCAAGGAGCAGCACCTTTAATGAGCAGGTGGCAGAGCCGTGCCCACAGCTTGTGCTGTTTGTAGCAGGAGGGGCTCCTGCTGCCCTGCGATGGCATCCCACTGTCATTTTCAGGAGCAGGAAAGCGGATACCTTCGACCCCTCAGTTTTTAGAAACCTGTTGCAGAAAAGTGCAGCATTACCATTTTGTTTGCAGCCGTAGAAATGGCAGCACCCAGGGATGGCTGGATGGAAGCTGCAAGGCGGGCAGGTGACAAGCGGGTTCTTTTTTTTTTGCACCTGAGCCAACACAGATTCCCTGTCCTGCAGTCAATGTGCTTGCACTTACCAGTCCCTAATTTGCTGCTCGCTACGGGCAAATTACAGCTTTTGTGCAACCAGAACAAAACCCCAGGAACCTATTTGTAAGTGCTGCTGAGATTTACCCGGTGTTGAGAAGAGCAAGAGAGAGATTTTGTCGGGATAAGAGCATGGAGTTGAGCGGTGGGGATGCAAAGCCAGCAGCCAGGCTAGGAAACACCTGCAGACCCTCTGAGTCTTCCCGGGGCTTGCACAAACGGAAGCTGGCTGTTATAAGCATGTCAACACTCAAACTCTGGTAGTAAGGAAATCCCTATTTATGTAGGCACAGACAAGAGGAAAAAAAAAATGAAAAAGAGAGCAAAGGTGCAAAGTTAAATATTTAATTGTGAATTGGCTCCAATTAATTTTCAATGAAGCTCCAGCAATTATCAATTAGTTCTGCTAAGGTCACGTGGGCAATCACAGTTTGGTCTCCCTGTGGGTATGCCTATGCGTTACCCTTTTCCTTTTATTTTAGACAAACCCCCAGCTCTATCGGAGGACACAGGAAGAGGGAGCAACCTAAGGCCAGGTGATTACCTACAGGGCTGGGGAGCATCAGCCCATGGCAGCAGCAAGAAGCCTTTTCTGCTGCTCTCCATCCTTTGTTGCCCACACACTGCTCAGGTCCTGTTCTGCCAGCATGAGCATTAATTTCCCCTGAGGCTTTACGTGGGGCTCGCTGCGTGCCCGTGGGTGGCCTGACCACAGCTTGCCTACGAGTCAGGGGAGCTTTCCCAGTGCCTGCTCCGAGGGCAGCAGATGCCGCTTTTTCAATGTACTTCTCATGCAGAACTGCAGGTGAGCAGGGAGCAGCTTTGCACAGCAGCTGAGGATGCTCAGGGCTTCTGCAAATCAGGTTTTTCAGTACCCAGAAAAAAACCTGAAGAGCTCAGAGCACTTGTGAAAAGCACAGGTTAAGCAATTTACTGACTCTCGAGAGGGATTCAGTGGTGAGGAGAGTGGGAATCTTTCAGCCTTGTGGTGTGCTGGCTTGGCTCCAAAATGTTTTGCTATTTCCTGCCCTATTGACTGTGTGTCCGCCAGTTCCCACTGCCGTCAAAATATAACTTCCTCATGCAACAGCCCTTTTACTGTGCAGCTCTGGTTGATGCCTGCAGCAAGCTCCTAAAGGAGATACTGCTGAGCAAGTACTTCCGAAGCCTTCTAAGTTGGCAAATTTGGGTGGACCTTTGCAGCGCTGGGGTGGTAAGGAAGCCATCTCCTGCCAAGGTAAAGCTGCGTTTCTGAGCTGCAGACATAGGGAATATTTTTTGAAGAAATAGTTGATAAATATATTTTTTTCAACCAGGTGCAGAAGCAATGCATTTGCAAAAGCAACTGGCTATAATTCTCCTCTAGAAATGCAGCCAGAGGTGGTAGATGCTCCACGCAGGAGATCTCCACCAGCACAGCTGAAGGCAGGTAAGGTCAGAAGCTGCTTTGAATACACGGTCGGATCACACAGGCCCAGCAACTTTCACATGAAGTGTCGTTGCAGTTCTCTCTTTTAGTAAAATGTTATATTGGGGTAAAAAGGGCTATTTTTCTTAACTGTGTAGTTCCTCTTCTGGGAGGCTGAGCAACCGGCAGCGCACGTCAACCCTGTCCGCTGGGAGAAGCAGCACCGGGTGGGACGGTGGGGGAGAGCACAGGAGCGAGAAGGGGGAGCCCCAGAGCAGCCTCAGAGGCTGTTTTGGAAAAAGACACATGGTGCGTGTTTTGCTGCTTTCGGCCGTAGCTGCCAAACCCATGACCAGTTGCAGGCCTGCCAGTAAGGCTGCTCCACTCCCCACCGTGCCGTCCCTCTCACCCCCAGCACAAATCCAGTCCTATTTTTAGTCACCCAGCATTTTGGGGGTCCGTCAAACAAATTAATGCCTGGAGGCAATCTGCATATCTGCCCCTGCCAGGAGGGTTGTGAGGAAAAAAAAAAACCATCTCTTTATCTGGAAGAGATACAGCTTGTGAGGAATCGGCACATCTTGGGAGAAATACATTCAGCCGAGCCCAGGGGTGCCCACCCACAACTAATACCCTCCTGTCTACCAGGTGCTATTCCCTTGGACTCCAGCAAGCAAAAAGGAAAGGCCCTTCCCAGCATTTTTACCAGGAAGATGCATATCCCTGCATTGCTCTCCCTGGAGCCGCTGGCAGCGGGTTAGCTGGGTTGTTTATGTTATCCCAAGACAAAATCCCCCCTCTCTCCCCTCAGCACCACTAACGGCTATTGTTTAACTCCCGTGTGCACCAGCTTGCTCACGGACGTGCTCGCTTTCTTTTTAGCCCAGTTACATCAGCAATAAGCTATTCCAGTCTTTATTCACCTACTAATGAATTATACATTGATTATACAATAGAAGCTCCCTGCATCGATGGGCTGGGCTCTTGCTCTCTCACATGGCATCTCGCAAAGCACAGCTAAGCCCAGCTGCGGCTCGGCCCTCTCTGATGCCCTGAGGAAAATGAACGTTCACTTTCTCAGCTCAGGAGCAGCAGAGCCTGAGCTGAGAAGAGGGAGCATCTGCACTGGATGGGGAAACCCGCTTGTGTTTGCTCTCTCTCTGCCATAGCTCTGGCGGGAGCCGATGCTGTCCTTCCCCACGGCCCCCCTCTTCCTCCTCCTCTTTATATAACCTGACCCATCACCATAGATACATTGACATAAATATTTAAAGATGGCAGAGAGACAGACCACGCAGAGGGGAACCATTTGTTGAGTTTATTAGAAACAGAAACTTCAGGTGCAGCTACAGGTCTCTGCTTGCCGCACCCCCCCTCCAAAGGCTGCAAGGCAAACACGACCCCCCGGGCTATCACAGTGCTTTGGCTGAATTTGCAGAGCTGGGCACAGGGATTTTCGGATGAGCAGCACCCACAGAAAAAATATTCTGGAGATGGCCCCTTAGATAGGTGGATGAGATTCTTAATATTATTTTTTCTACTCAAAATGAAGGCATTGTCTGGCTCCCCAGGGGTGCAGGCGGGCCTCTCCC